AGATGGATGGATAGATAGTTGGATGGACGGATGGATGGATGGGTGGTTGGTTGGATGGATGGATGGATGGATAGATGGATGGATAGATGGATGGATGGATGGATATAGATAGATAGATAGATAGATAGATAGATAGATAGATAGATAGACAGACAAATGGATTGTTTCCAGTGAACCTTTTCCAAGAAAGATTGTAGCAGAAAATTTATTAGCATTTTAGCACTTTTGCTCATTTGCAATTCACTGGTGCTATTTTTTCTTAAATTGTAGAGCACTTAGAAATACGTATTTTGATAACAGGGCAGTAGATGCTTAAGAAGTCAATGCAATGACCCATAGAAACTCTGTGTCCTTATTAACAATGCTGGCATTTTGAACACTAGTGAAACACAAAGAAGCAAAGGAGGGGAAAAATCCTTTCCACATTTATATATATATTTTAAAAAAACAACCTTGTTTTGTTTTTCCCCAACCACATTGTAGACTTTCTTGAAACCCGGCGGTGCCGAAGCAGGGAAACAAAACAAAACAAAATCTGCTGACTTTATTAAAATATTAACAAGGTATAGTTATAACTTTTGTACACTTATGCAAATGAGATTGCCAGAACAAGAGGAAGGAAGAGCATCCCTCCCGGGAGGAAGAATACAAAATCAACAAAGTGAAAAGATCAACCATCCCTTCTGCAGTATGACAGCAAGACACAAGAGGCGTCAGCTTGGGAATTGGGGAAGATAAATTAAAAAATATATACGCAGGCATGCTCACCCCTCCAAAGTTTAAGTACATCACAGTTTATAAAGCTAATAGATTTAAATGAGGCAGAGTGCATGCACCATTCCATGAAATTATTATATTTACCAGGGGGCTCGAGGAACATTTTGGGAGAAGTATTCGTCATATAAAATACATGCGATGAGGAAGGCTGAGAATAAAAATGTTTTAGTTGTGTGTGCCTCTTAAAAGTATTTTTTAAGAGTAGCTCTGTACTGAAGGTCGAAACTCAACTTTTTGAGGAGATTTTATCCACAAACTGCTGTTAACCAAGCATGATCAAGTGCCCTGAAATCTCCTTATATTAAGAGCCAAAACCGCATCTGTTCAGCCACAGATTGCTGGAACAGGAGGGTGCAGGCATCCAAGAGGGAGTTTCTAGAGTCCTTGTGCCTGAGGCTGGCCTAAGGTATCTGACAGCATCAGGGGAATGTGGACTGCAAGCTGTCACTGCCACCCCCACCGAGAAATTGCCAGGCAGGTTTTTTACCTGTGTATCTATATGGCAGAACTGCCGGAGGTTAAGTGGTTTGAGCCACAACATTTGGGCGAATCCCAGGTTGGCTACTGGACGGAGACAACTGCACCTCTTTCTATCGAATGACCCTCATATATAATGTATTTACTCATGCATGAGCCTAGACATTCTAGTTGACCCCAAAAAATCGGGATGACTTAAAAATTGACCCAAAAAACCCAGGCATGACCTATCTATAGCCTTAAACGGTTCCAGCCCAAGATACCTATCCGACCGCATCTCGACCTACGAGCCCACCAGGACTTTGAGATCTTCCGGGGAGGCCCTGCTCTCGATCCCGCCTGCTTCACAGGCACGGCTGGCGGGGACGAGAGATAGGGCCTTCTCGGTGGTGGCTCCTCGGCTGTGGAACACCCTTCCCGTGGACATCAGACTGGCTCCTTCCCTGATGATATTCCGCAGGAAATTAAAGACTTGGTTGTTCAAGAAGGCGTTCGAACAAGAAGTGCAATGATTGGTAATGACTATAGGAATGGAACAACGGAAAATGATACTGGATTGTGGTTTGGACGATGAGACGGCGCTGAATGGGTTTTGTAGTAATGACGATGTTTTTGTATAATGCTGGATTGTGAATTGTTTTTATACTGTGTCTTGAATTTTGTTCTTCCTATGTTGTACACCGCTGTGAGTGCCCCCGGGCTGAGAACAGCGGTATATAAGCAAAGTAAATAAATAAATAAATAAATAAATAATGTAATGGGTAAAGTATTTTAGGTAAAGGTAAAGGCTTCCCCGAACATTTATTGTTTTACTCTATTGTTATTATTGTGTTTATTATTTTACTCTATTATTATTATTACATTTATTATTTTACTCTATTAATACTGTTATTATTACATTCCCATTATTTTACCGCATTTCTGTGTATGAACCCACACAATCTCTTCGATCATCTGGAGAGGCCTTGCTCGCACTCCCACCTCCATCGCAGGCGTGATTGGTGGGGACGAGGGAGAGGGCTTTCTCGGTGGTGGCCCCTCGACTCTGGAACTCACTCCCCAAGGACATCAGGCATGCCCCAACTCTGGCAGTCTTTAGGAGGAGCCTGAAAACGTGGTTGTTCCAGTGTGCCTTCCCAGAATAAGGAAACTCCCAGCAATATGTCCTTAAGGTAAAGGTAGTCCCCTGACATTAAGTCCAGTCATGTCTGACTCTGGGGTGTGGTGCTCATCTCCATTTCTAAGCTGAAGAGCCAGCATTGTCCGTAGACACCTCCAAGGTCATGTGGCCGGCATGACTGCATGGAGCACGTTACCTTCCCGCGGAGCGGTACCTATTGATCTACTCACATTTGCATGTTTTCGAACTGCTAGGTTGGCAGAAGCTAGGGCTGACAGCGGAAGCTCACGCCGCTCCCCGGAATCGAACCTGCGACCTTTCGATCACCAAGCTCAGCAGCTCAATGCTTTAACCCTCTCCGAAAACTCTATCCTAGTCACATTTCACCTGTTCACACTCAGCATTATCTTTAATTTTAATTACTACATTTGGCCCAGCCATAGGTTTTTTTAAACATCGTTGTGTTCTGTTAATGTTTATTGCTTATTTTTGTGGTGAGTTTTATTTTATTGTTTGTATTACTGTTGTTATTGTTTTTATTACTGATGTATTGTGGGCTCGGCCTCATGTAAGCCGCACCGAGTCCCTTGGGGAGATGGTAGCGGGGTATAAATTATTATTATTATTATTATTATTTTACCAACACAAAAACACAATATGTCACAGCAAACGAGATCTATATGCTGGATTTCGAATCACAAAATCACAAGTCGAACATTTCCCAAGCGTCTAGGACGGTGTGATGTATTTTCGAATGATATGCACAGATCCAAGTAAGATGGCCTTTTGCAGTTGACAGATCGTGATTTTGTTGATGTTTATTGTTTCCAAATGCCAGCTGAGATCTTTTGGCATGGCACCCAGTGTGCCAATGACCACTGGGACCACCTGTGCTGGTTTATGCCAGAGCCTTTGCAGTTCGGTTTTGAGGTCCTGATAATGGCTGAGTTTTTCCTATTGTTTTTCCTCAATGTGACTGTCACCTGGAATGGCACAATAATAATTTCCACAATCGTTATTATTATTATTATTATATTACATTTATTATTTTACTCTATTATTATTGGAGGACATGTAATTACATTTACATTGAAGAAGGTTCGAATAATGGTTTAATCAGAGTTGGACAGTCTTATCTTAAATTACAGTTTTATGTAAATATTCAAAAACATTTAACCTACTGATGCCTCAATTAATATGTTATTGCTATCTATTTTTATTTTGAAATTTGCCAGTAGCTGCTGCATTTCCCACCCCAAGACAAAAAAAAAATGCCCATGCTTGGTCTAAAACAACCACTATGTGGCATTCAGAAAAAAATTCAGGACCTCATCATTGAGTGAAGGTGGCCCAATTTGAGATTGGGACTTACAGTGTTCTAGATAGCCTTTGGAATCCATTTGAATGAAGCACAGAGTGTTTGAGGACTGGGACATCCGTAGGGATACCAAGGTACTTGTTTATGAAGCCATTATCCTCCCAACCCTGCTATATGCCTGCGAGACATGGACTGTCTACAGACATCACATGCAACTCCTGGAACGATTCCATCAGCGCTGCGCTGCAAAATCCTGCAAATCTCTTGGGAAGACAAGCGGACAAATGTCAGCATGCTGGAAGAAGCAAAGACCACCAGCATTGAAGCGATGGTCCTCTGCCATCAACTCCGCTGGACCAGCCACGTTGTCCGGATGCCCGACCACCGTCTCCCAAAGCAGTTGCTCTACTCCGAACTCAAGAACGGAAAACGGAATGTTGGTGGGAAGGAAAAGAGATTTAAAGATGGGCTCAAAGCCAACCTTAAAAACTCTGGCATAGACACTGAGAACTGGGAAGCCCTGGCCCTTGAGCGCTCCAGCTGGAGGTCAGCTGTGACCAGCAGTGCTGTAGAATTTGAAGAAGCACAAATGGAGGGCAAAAGAAGAAACATGCCAAGAGGAAGGCGTGTCAAGCTAAAACCGTCTGGGATCACCTTCCACCTGGAAACCAATGTCCTCACTGCGGGGGAACATGCAGGTCAAGAATACGGCTCCACAGTCACCTACAGACCTACCGCCAGTACACCGATCTTGGAGGACAATCTTACTCAGACAACGAGGGATCGCCTAAGTAAGTAAGTAAGTAAGAAATCCATTTCAATTCAGTGGTTTGGTTCTGTAGCTGCTTGATATCCAATGGCATGTTTGGGAGATTGGTACCTTCTTTTGTTTGCAATGGACTTTATTTTACCAAGCAATAGCCCTGTTCCCTTATTTGTCATAGTTAAGCTATGATGGAAAAAGAATTGTATTTTTTGATACTGGTATTTAATAAGAAGCCACTATTGTCTTCTTTCTGTGCCCACCTTCTATTCATAATGTGCATGGGTGGGTGGGGGAAGAGATGGAGAATGTCAAAATGTTAGTTGAGTTTTTGTATGCTAATCTTTCCTTAAATTATTAACCGATGGGAAGAAATTATTTACATTGTGCTCGGCGTGGCCGTGGCAATGCGTCGCAAGGCATACTGTCAAAAGAAATCCTCAGAGCGAATGATTAGAGTTGTCGGGTCTTATTTATTTATGCAGCCCGTGCTCAGAGGACCTGCTTTTTTTTTGAGACTGCACCCAGAGAGACAGAAAGAGAAAGAGAGGAGGATTTTCTGATGTTACAAGGGAAGGAAGGAGGAGAGGAAGGAGCTCCGAACGCTCCTTCAAAACAGCTATTTCTCACAGATAACAATGGCAGAAACAAACAATACAAGTTTGCATTTAACTCTTGAAAAAGGAAATAAGAAGTTGTACCTGAAGTTCGGTCTGAAAGAAGAACTTCTGCGGGCACTGGGAACAATCGTAAATTTTATCCTCTTGCCCATGGACAGCAAAGATATGTTGCTGCAATTTATTGGCCTGTACAAAAACTAGGAAAAGAAAAATAACAATGTTATGCAAGGCAGAAACAATGGGCATCATAGACAAATGCCCTCCCCTATTCATTCATTAGATACAAATTGACTTCAAGATTTTCTCATTGCAGCGAGGGACTCAACATAAGTAAAGCAAAATTTAATGCCTCATATAAAGAAACCTAACATCACGAAAATAACATGCAATTATCAATTAAATCATAAAACACGACATCATTTAACATTAAATCATGGAATCAAAAAAATATCAATATACGTAAACATTAAAACCATACAATTCAATTATTGTAGTACAGGCCATGCAAAATAATAATAATAATAACAATAATAATAATAATAATAATACTTTATTTGTACCCCGCTACCATCTCCCCAAGGGACTCGGTGCGGCTTACATGAGGCCGAGCCTAAAACACAACAATACAGGTTATCATATCTATTGCACATATTGACTTGGCCACAGTGGTCCACGCTCTTGTTATATCCTGGATAGATTACTGCAATGAGGTCTATGTGGGATGGGCTTTGAAGACTGTTTGGAAACCAAATCTAGTCCAACGGGCATCAGTCAGATTGCTCACCAGAGCGGCATACAGGGAGTATACCACCCGCATTAATGGCTGCTGGTCTGCTACTGAGCACAATTCAAAGTGCTGGCTTTAGCTTATAAAGACCCAAACGGTTCCAGCCCAGCTTATTTGTCCGAACGTCTCTCCCTCTATGATCCACCTCAGAGGTTAAGATTGTTGGGGGAGGCCCTGCTCTCGATCCCACCACCTTTGCGCGTGTTTGGCGGGGATGAAGGACAGGGCCTTCTCAGGTGGTGGCCCTGTCTGTGGAACACAGTCCCTAATAAAATCAGGTAAGCCCCCTCTCTCCTGTCTTTCAGGAAGAAACTGAAGTCATGGCAGTGGGAACAAGCTTTCGAGCAGCAGTCACAGCAGTAGCAATTATAAATTAATCATGTGATTGACAATAGATTGATTTTGGATTATGACTCTGGACTTGGACTTAGATTTGCCTCTTTTAAATTGGAACACCTCAGCAAGCGAGAGTCCAAAAGTGGCAGGCTAAAACCCAGAACCTCAAGCCATGGGTAATACCAAATGAGAGGCACTCTCCTTGGCACACAGAAGACTGGGTGACTTGGAAGGCACTGAACAGACTGTGCTCTGGCACCACGAGATGCAGAGCCAACCTTAAGAAATGGGGCCACAAAGTGGAGTCCATGACATGAAGTGTGGAGAAGAACAAACCACAGACCACCTATTACAATGCAACCTGAGCCCTGCCACATGGACAATGGAGGACCTTCTTATAGCAACACCAGAGGCACTCCAAGTTGCCAGCTTCTGGTCAAAGGACATTTAATACAATGACAAGTTTCAAACTTTGTGGGTTTTTTGTTTGTTTGTTTTTTAAAATTAATTAAAACTATACCCTTGGTTTGCTCCTGATACAATAAATAATGGTCTTTTGAACATTCGATTATGTTTTAACTAATGTTCAATGTGTGCTTTTAATATTGTTGTGGGCATCTAATGGTTGCTGGTTGTAAGCCACCCTGAGTCTCTCTCCAGGGGTGAAAAGGACAAGATATACATATCTGAAATAAATAAATAATAATACATAATCCCGGATCATTCCTTGTGCTGCTTATTGGCCAAAGGCTTGGTCCCATAGCAAAGTTTTTACTCTTCTCCTTCTGTTTAACTCCAGTTAGTTGTGTTTAATGAATATGAATAAAGGATCATCAGAGGAGGAGGCATGATTGAGGCTGGCCAATCTACACTGCACTCCTATTATTTATTTATTTATTTATTTATTTATTTATTTATTTATTTATCATGTCAGGAGCAAGCCAACCAGTTGTATTGCATTTTTTAACAAACAAACAAACAAAACACAAAGTTTGCAAGCTTGGTAGTTAATTAAATGTCCTTTGACCAGTATCTGGCCACTTGGAGTGCCTCTGGTGTTACTATAAGAAGGTCCCCCATTGTGCATGAGGCAGGGCTCAGGTTGCATTGCAGCAGGAGGTCAGCCACTGGTTGAGGTTCTGGGTTTGAACCTGCCACTTTTGGACTCTTGCTTGCTGAGGTGTTCCAGCGAGTGTCTCTGTAGATCTTAGAAAACTATTTCTTGATTTAAGTTGTTGATGTGCTGGCTGATACCCAAACAAGGGATGAGCTGGAGATGTCACTGCCTTGGTCCTTTCACTATTGGCTGCTACTTCCCAGCGGATGTCAGGTGGTGCAATACCGGCTACAGTGTAATTTCTCCAGTGGTGTAGGGCGCAGACACCCCGTGATAATGCGGCATGTCTCATTAAGAGCCACATCCACTGTTTTAGCGTGGGGAGATGTGTTCCACACTGGGCATGCGTACTCAGCAGCAGAGTAGCATAGCGCAAGGGCAGATGTCTTCACTGTGTCTGGTTGTGATCCCCAGGTTGTGCCAGTCAGCTTTTGTATGATATTGTTTCTAGCACCCACTTTTTGCTTGATATTCAGGCAGTGCTTCTTGTAGGTCAGAGCACAGTCCAGACTGCAAGAAGGTCCTCCATTGTGCATTTAGCAGGGCTCAGGTAGCATTGCAGCAGATAGTCTGTGGTTTGCTCTTCTCCACACTTGCATGTCGTGGATTCCACTTTGTAGCCCCATTTCTTAAGGTTGGCTCTGCATCTCATGGTGCCAGAGCGCAGTCTGTTTAGCGCCTTCCAAGTCGTCCAGTCTTCTGTGTGCCCAGGGGGCAGTCTCTCATTTGGTATCAGCCATTGATTAAGGTTCCGGGTTTGAGCCTGCCACTTTTGGACTCTCGCTTGCTGAGGTGTTCCAGTGAGTATCTCTGTAGATCTTAGAAAACTATTTCTTGATTTAAGTCATGGACATGCTGGCTGATACCCAAACAGGGGATGAGCTGGAGATGTCACTGCCTTGGTCCTTTCACTATTGGCTGCACTCCTATTGAGGGGACATGTCTACTGCCAAGAGGGAGAAATAACGCTGGGCATAAACCATTTGCCCAAAGAGCCAGGAAGGCCAAGGCTGATCCGAACCCACCCCCCATCCCCAGATCCAAGACTCGGCCATGCTGTAAATTATCATACAAAAGTAATCCAATAAATGTTCATAACAGGAGGTTTAATTGCCTGTGGAAAATGCTGCGTGGTGTGCGAAATGAAGGAGGGAGGAGAAAGCCCTCCTTCTAAGTCGCTCCAGCTTGAAAGATGATATTCTAAAGCTTCCCTCGCAGAAGGTTTCCCCGCCGCCCTCCCTTTTCTTTCAAGGAACGGAATACTGTATTTTAAAACTCCCCTGTGTGCCATTTCTGGATCAAGCCATGCACACTGAGGCTTGTCTGGGTCTGACTGCCTTACCTGTAAAACAAACAGGGCATTTGAATGTGCCTCCCATCCCCTCGAAGCTGTGCTCAATCAGGTGACACAGGAGCTTTGCCGGAGAGTCAAACATCTGGTTACACAGCTTGCACTCATGATTGATGCCTTCCTCTGCAAGGTTCAAATGATACAACTTGTTAGTGACACAGCAGATTAGCGTCTGAAATGCAGTTGTCGTCGGCGAGGAATCGAGAGGGGCCGGGCGGCGCGGCGTCCGGGACCCGGCAACGACGCCGTTTCTGCAGGGCCCACCCTGACAAAAGCGCGCCGTAGCATTGCATGTTCGGTGCATTCAGGTGTGCAGCCGCAAGTCAAATTTTGAGGGGCATTTCTATTTTCAGATGTGATGGAAGTGACATTGCGATCAAACCGCCGGCAATAGACACTCCTGTTTCCTCAGGCCTGTGACACTGTATCCTTTGTGCGCACACACTGAAAACACACCGAACATCACTGCTCTGGGCATATAATACATAAATATATATTATTAAGAATACTCAAACCGCATTTGAACAGCAAAAAGTAAAAGCACAAGAGTTCAGAGAAGGATGCCAAAGAGGCGAAACAACTGACACCTTCTACTCCATATGCATTGCAGTAAAAGCAAAAAAATGAGAATGGATCCCAGAAATACAGTTCTTAGCTGAGCCAGCTCTTACCCTAAGCCAAAACCCAAATAGGTGTTCGGCAATTATATTCCCCATTTCTACATATTTGGTTAATTATAGTTGTAAACCATTTGGGGCTGAGTTTGGAAGTAATCCAAACAGTTCAAGCCACAGCAAACAAAACAAAAAGTACAATAGAGTCTTGCTTATCCAACCTTCGCTCATCCAACGTTCTGTATTATCCAGCGCAGTCTGCCTCCCACCTGGAATAATGTCCAGGGTGTGAGAAAGAAAGAACCTCTGTCTGTTTTGGTGCTAAATTTGTAAATACAATAATTACTACATAACGTTACCATGTATTGGACTGCTTCTTCTGTCGATTTGTTTGGCGGGGACGATAGTACGTTTGGTGGGGACGAGAGACAGGGCCTTCTCAATGGTGCCCCCTCGGCTATGGAACACCCTTCCTAGGGACATTAGATCGCCCCCCCCCCTTAACATTCCGGAAAAGCGTCAAGACCTGGCTGTTCGAGCAAGCATTTGAAAACGCAATGTAAAAGACATAGGAACTTGGAATGACTGGACAACGAGATGGATAATGTTTTTAATTAGGAGACGCAATGGCTTATGTTTTATTACTTTTGTTTCCTTTTATACTGTGTATTAATGTTCTAAATGTTTTATGATGTTCTTGGGCATCGAATCGTTGCCTCTGTAAACTGCCCTGAGTCGCCTGAGGGCTGAGAAAGGTGGTATACAAATAAAGTAAATAAAATAAATAAATAATAAATAAATAATTTGTAACATCATAATTGTTTTGACATTCCTTATTATCCTTATTATCCAACACTTTCACTTATCCAGCGTTTTGCTGGCTCATTTGTGTTGGATAAGTGAGACTCCACTGTACCCTATAAACTCGAGTACAAGCCTAGTTTTGCAGCCTTTTTAAGGATGAAAAAGCCCCCCTTGGCTTATACTCGAGTGAGGGTCCTGACCGGAAGGCGTGGGTTGTTGTACCAAGAGGGGAGGGGAGGCCGTGTGCCTTCCTCTCCTCGGTCCTTCCCACTTCCTACCTTCCCACTTCAGTTTTTCCCCTTTCCCAGCACCCCTTTCCCAGCACCCCTTTCCCATCCCAGTCTTTCTTTTCTAGTTTCCCCCTTCCTTCCCCAGTCTTTACTATTCCCAGCTCCTCTCTCCCATTTTTCCAGTTCCCTTTGCATCCCAGCCTTTCCTAGGTTCCAGCCTCTCTCTCCCATTTCAGCCTTGCCCCCTTTCCCTCCGCAGTAAGTCATAACAGAATCAAGTATGTGTGTGTGTGCTAAAGAAAACCTTATGCTGTTTATTATTATATGCAGCTGCTAATGTAGGTCAACTAGTAAGTTTGGCTATAACTGTATGGTTTTTAGAATACAGTTCAGCTTTTGCTCTGAGGAGCCTTTGCTCGGGCATTTTGCTCAACCATTTCTACTGCTCTCCCATTTGGATGAAGATGAAGAAGCCTTATTTTGTATTGCTTACAAAGACTGTAAGTTTGTTGCACAGTTTGTAACATTGCAAGTTTATGTTTTAACTCTGCTGATAAGAGTAGTTTTTCTGTTCCAGTCCTTCTTTCCCACCCCCTTCCCACGCCGGTTTCCCCACTTTTCCTTATTCATGTACACACAAAATGTATAGTTAAAATAGTTAAAATAAACTATGACAATGATTGGAAGGATACATATGCACATTTGCATTGAAGAAGGTTAAAATAATAGTTTAATCAGAGTTGGACAGTCTTATCTTAAATTACAGTTTTATGTAAATGTTCAAAAATATTTAACCTATGGATGCCTTAATTAATGTAATTTTATTGGTATCTATTTTTATTTTGAAATTAACCAGTAGCAGCTGCATTTCCCACCCTCGGCTTATACTTGAGTCATTATTATTATTATTATTATTATTATTATTATTATTATTATTATTATTTACAGTATTTATATACCGCCTTTCTCACCCCTGGGGGGACTCAAAGTGGTTTACACATAAATAATGGCAAAATTCAATGCCTTACATTGGGCACTGATACGATGCCAATACAAACAATTACAATAGTAAAACCACAATTAAACATAAATCATAATTAAAACAATACATCAACAAGCATTAAAACAATAAAATAGTCTAGTTTTCCAAGTTTTTTTGTGTGGCAAAATTAAGTGCCTCTGTTTATATTCGGGTCAGCTTATATTCGAGTATATACGGTAATAAAAATATAATAGGTTCCCACAGATGTGGAAATTCATCCCACTGGAGGCAAGACCTTTTGATTTGCAAATCCACTTCTGAATTACAAGGCCTTCTTACTGGTGAGTTTTTTTCCGCCTTGCACTCCCACAGGAATCCATTATACATTTTCTATGTCAATGAAACCATCCAGAAAGAAATGGAAAGAGAAAGTGGAAGGAGCACTGTAGTTCAATCTGAGAAATATTTGACTTCTGAATACATCCAAAAGAATCCCAAATACAGATGGAAATTGCTGGTATCATCCCAGTGATGTGCTATAGCCTCAAGATAGTAGCTAATATCAAGTAAAACATTTTCTTTAAACATCAGTGCACTGCTCATCTGATTTTGGAAGGTAAACAAGATCAGTCCTGGTTATTATTTACATGGGAGACCGTCAATGCATTCCAGGTAATATAGGCTACATTTCAGAGGAAGGCAATGGCAACCCCCTGATTATTCCTTGCCCAAGAAACCCTAAAAAATCCATGGGTTCACCATAACTCAACCTGGAGGTAGACCAGTGTTTCTCAATCTTCCTAATGCCGTGACCCTTTAATACAGTTCCTCATGTTGTGGTGACCCCAAATCATAAAATTATTTTCATTGCTACTTCATAACTATAATTTTGCTACTGTATTATCGAAGGTTTTCATGGCTTTCATTTGAGAACACAGAAATGCTGAACCACTCTCACAACCACCGGGTCAGACTACACGGAGAAGCCAATGAAATCCACAAGCATGTGGACAATTTCTACAGAAAGGAGGAAACCATGAAAATGAACAAAATCTGGCTAGCAGTATTAAAAAAACTCTAAAATTGCAACAGCACAACAACAGAGAGGAAACAAACAAGGACATCTCATCACCTCTCAAAGATTGCTCCAGGCACTGTCAGGCCATTATATGCTAATCAAGGTAATCCGTTGAAACATTCACACCTAGCTCCAGCAGACAAGAGTCCTTTGTCTCACCCTGGTCATTCCACAGATATATAAACCCTTTTTCCTAGTTCCAACAGACCTCACTACCTCTGAGGATGCTTGCCATAGATGCAGGCGAAACGTCAGGAGAGAATGCCTGTAGACCATGGAAATATAGCCCGACAACCCAATTTTGCTACTGTTATGAATCATCATGTAAATATCTGATATGCAGGGTGCATTTTCATTCACTGGACCAAATTTGGCATAAATACCCGATATGCTCAAATTTGAATACCAGTGGGGTGGGGGTGGGGATTGATTTTGTCATTTGGGAGTTGTAGTTGCTGGGATCTATAGTTCACCTACAATCAAAGAGATTCTTAACTCCATCGATGGAATTGAACCAAACTACATCTACATCTAGAGAGCACTGTGGACTCAAACAATGATGGATCTGGACCAAACTTGGCATGAATACAACAATATGCCCACCTATTGGTGTTTGGGGAAAATAGACCTTGACATGTGGGAGTGGTAGTTGCTGAGATTCATAGTTCACTTAAAATCAAAGAGCATTCTGAATCCCACCAACGATAGAATTGGGCTTTCCACAGAGACCCCCCATGCCCATGATACTGTGTTTTCTGATGGTCTTTGGCAACCCCTCTGACAARCCCTCGCYACCACTCCCCAGGGATCCCAAAYCCAAGTTGAAAAACYCTGATGTATGGGATATCATGGGGTGGTCTGTTGTTTMAAGGAAATAGGAGAAAATAAGCCTCTCACTGCTTTCTGGCCTTGCATCACACATTTTAGTACAAATATTAAGACACAAATAGTGTTCAATTCAGCAAGTATTGCAGAATGTCATGCCACAGTCCACTTCAAAAAAGGGTGATGGATCGGGCACAAATACTCAATATGCCCAAATGTGAAAACTGGTGGCATTAGGGGAAAATAYACCTTGACATTTGGGAGTTGTGGTTGCTGGGACTTATAGTTCACCTACAATCAAAGAGCATTCTGAACTCCAACAATGATGAAATTGAACCAAACCTGGCACACAAAACACCTATGACCAACAGAAAATACTGGGAGGGTTTGGTGGACATTGACCTTTTTGGAGTTGTAGTTCATCTACATCTAGAGAGCACTGTGGATGGAATTGAACCACACTTGGCACACAGAACTCCCATGGCCAACAGAAAATACTGGAAGGGTTTGGTGGGCATTGAACTTGAGTTTGGGAGTTGTAGTTCACCTACATCCAAAGAGCACTGTGGATCTAAACAATGATGGATCTG